TGTGTGAGTTCCACACAGCTAACGGCAGGGCTGAGGCATTAGGGCAGAAAGCAGAGAAACAATCATTGATTTTTACTGGCTGCAGTTGCAAAACCTAGGCTGAGCCACAGCCCCCAACCCTCAACCCAGAGGGACGCTCCCCACCACAGCCTCCAAGACCGAACACCACAGAGCCCCAGGGGAATCTGAGCAAACGCAACTGAAACTATTGTTTGCACTGACAGGGACTGAAACTGCGGGTAGCGAGTGTGATTAAATATCTATTCGAAAATATAAAGACATTTTTAAGGCTTTACATAAAGCAGGGATCCAAGAGGCTTAGAAGCCACTGACTGGAAACCAAAAGAAAAGCACCACTTTGCAGCAGGCTAAAGAGACTCTTATATAATAACTCTTCTTTCTGGAAAAACAGCAGAATACACTTCCGTTAATGCCCAGGCAGAGAAATAGTCCATTAAACACCATGAACAATCAAGGTGACAAGGCATCTCAGAAAGAAAGAGAAAAATCTCCAGAAAATACACTTACAGACATAGAAACATGCAATTTAAATGACAGAGAATTCAGGATGGTATTCTGAAAAAAACTCAGTGAGTTCCAAAACGAGTCATATCAACAATTTCAGGAACTGAAAAAGCAATTAAATGAGCAGAGTAAGAAAATTGAAACCCTCAAAAAGAACAGAACAGAATTAGGCAGTGCATGAAAGAACTGTGGAAGACAAGTAATTCAGCAATCTCTCAACAGGCATTTTGCATTTTCTATTTTAATTTTCTACTTTTACAGATCCTATGCTTCATTGCTAAGTCACAACAGATTAGTTTGAATTTTACAAAATATGTACAGAGAAACATAATAAGAATTAGAAGCTGAAAAATGTTTGGGTATGACCATATTCGCCATAGTCTTTATGGAGCAGGTAGCATAAAGGAGAAATGGAATGGTATTGGGAAGATAGAAACAAAAGACTTCACCTATATCTGTATATACTTGGTTAACTAAAAATTAAAAATGGTTTATTTTTTAACCTTGGTGTTTAGTACATGATGCCTAATATTCTTTAAATATTTTGAATACATTTTGAAATTTTAAGAAGTAAATGAATTAAAAGGGTAAGTTCAAATAAGAAAGGTTTGGGGGGTTATTATTTTTTTGAAGTGAGGTTAAAAATAACCCCGATAACTGTTTTAAGAAAAAGGAGAGTAATCTGTGTTACTAGCTAAAAATATATTATACAGTTATCTGGAATTGTTTCCTCATAGAACAGCATGAGTATTATTTAAATGTAATCTCTCTTGATTATATTGATTAAATACCTAGTCCTAAGTGGTCATTAAAAGGTTATTGACATTGCTAGCTCATTCTCTAAGTTCTATTAAAATAATCAAACAAATAGGTGTATAGGCACTGGCCACTGAGTGACTATAACTAAGAATAAAAAGGAGTATAATTTTAATTACATATACTCAAGAAGGAATATATTTGGGCATAAAGAATTAGTCAACATCTATTTTTCTAAAAGTACAATGTCATACCAAAGAAATAAAGAGAATAACTGTGTATTGAATAAGAGTAGATAATATATACATAGTCGTTTTAACGAATTTCCATCTGTTTTTAAATAAATAACGTTGAGAAAATCACAGATTTATATTTTATAAAACGCTTTGTATTTCTGTGTATTAATACTATAGATATCAATATTATACATATTTTTTAGCTAGTCAATGCTTGTGGCTGATGAACTAAGACATTTCTTTAACTTCTGTAATTAAATAAAACTGTACTGGCCAGACCAACTTGCCAGAATTGAATATATTTAAATGAAGAAAGATGGTGGGTGTCTACACACTGAGAGTAGAGAACCCAAGATACTGGAGCTTGGGGATAATATAATCCTCACTGTCTTAGTTTTCCCTCTCTCTTCATAAAAGTGAAGCCTCTTAAAGTTAAATTTTGAGCAGTTGAGGATCTATGAATTATAGTTAATTAGCTCTTGGTAGAAATCAATAATCTCCATTATATACATCTAATATGCATTAGCTATGTTCATGGAATATAACTATAAATTCTCTGCTCACAACGGAAAAGAGAATAATTTACAACATCATCTTTTCTAACAGGGAAAAGCAAACTAACAAAATACTCTTTCTTATTTAGCTTTCAACTGCTACTTTAATCCATTGGAGAAAATGGCTCCCAATGAGAAAAAAATACATTTCCCTACCATTAAGTCCAAATATCCAGATGTAAAGTGAAATAGTCAGTGATCAAGGTATGTGCCCTCTATTTAAAAAACTCTCGGAGGAAAAAAAAGTAGCGTAGATGATAGAGACTTTGTTCATCCCTCTGGCGACCAAATCAAAGTTATGACAGAAACAAGGAGCAAACGGCAAGGAAAAATCACCTGGGATCTAGATGAACAAGCCACACAACAAGGGAGAAATCCAAGCAACAGCAGAAAGTAAAACGGGGCGAGGACGCAGGGCTGCCAGATCTCAAGAGGCTGTGTGAGACTGAGGCTGTGGCTGCGGCAGCTGCAGCATCAGACGCCTCTTAAAGGGGCCACATCCGCAAGCAGATTTTCGTGTGACAGACCTGCTCGCTCTGAGCACCAGTGTCGGTTTGGCTGTGTGCAGGGCGCACCAGGGACTTACAGAGAGACATTGTCGGAGCGAGGGCCAAGGAGAGACTCGCTGGGTATAGAAGTGCTGGCGGTATCTATTGTTCCTTGTTGAGCTCTCCCCTGTCCCAGTGTGCGGACACAGCTCCGCCATAGCCGAGAAATCATCAAACTGGTTCATAGAGGTCTCTCCACCTAGAGCATTGCCTGAAACCCCACCTCCTGCAACTCACAGCCCCACCCAAGGCACATCCAGGTGTGTCCTCAGGCATCGGGTGTTCCTTGCTGAGCAGCATCTAGACTCACACTGGAGGCAGCTGCCCTTGGTTTCTGGTGTGGCTTTTGAGGCAACTATAAGCACAGCATCTGTGGATTGCTTGCTGAAGCTTAACAGGTGGCCTGGAGGGCACAGGCTCAGGCTAAATTTTCCCTGCAGCTAAACCCCTCTCAGGACTGTGCCACTGGAAACCTACTTCAGAAATTCACACTAATAAGACCAGGAGACTGAGGAGCTTTGCTTAGTACATAGACACAGGGAGCATATGGGACACTATTAAAGGTCAAAATATCCGTCTGATAGGCATACCTGAAGGAAACAAGAGGTTGATGGAAAACTTCCCTAACCTGGTGAAGAAAATGGGAAGAATTCTAACAGATGCAGAGTTCAAAACACTGGTTATAAAGATGCTCAATGAACTTTTGGGAAGTGTAGATAAATTCAGTGAGAACTTCAACAAAGAGATAAAAAAACATAAAAATGGAAATGGAAATTAGAAAAGGGAACCAATCTGAAATGAAGAACATATTATCTGAGATGAGAAAAATATTAAATGGAATAAACAGAGGAATAAAAAAAGTGAATAAAGAAAAGGATCAAATGACCTATCTAGAGGGTGGGAAAGCAAAGGACACTCAATCAGAATGGCAAGAAAAAAGATTCCAAGACCATAAAAATAATTTAAGGAGCATATGGGACACTATTTAAGGTCAAAATATCTGTCTGATAGGCATACCTGAAGGAAACAAGATGTCGATGGAAAACTTCCCTAACCTCGTAAAAAAAACAAAGCTATCATTTAGAGTCAATGGACAGATAAAGAGCTTCCCAGACAAAAATAAGCTAAAGGAAGTCATCACCACTATGCCAGTATTACAGAAAATGCTGGAAGGACTTCTTTAAGAAGAAAAAAACAAGTATCAAAAACAGGAATGAAGAATGGTAGCAACTACATTCCTATTAATAAGTACCTCAAATGGAAAAGAATTAAGTGCTCCAACTAAAAGATAGAGTGGATGAATGAATAGGAAAACAAGACCTCTACATGCTGCCTACAAGAGACTCATTTCAGATTGAAAGACGCACACAGACTAAAAGAAAGAGGATGGACAAAGATATTGCTTTGATGGACCTAGAAGGTATCTAAGTCAGATGGAGAAAGATAAACACTATATGATTTCACTTACATGCAGAATCTAAGGAATAAAAAGAACAAATTTATAAAAAATAGATTCACAAATATACTGGACAATTTGGTGATGGACAGAGGGGAGGGGAGTTTGGGGGCTGGGTGAATGGGCTGAAAGAAGTACAAATTAGTAGCTGATAAATGGTCATGGGGATAGGGAGCATGACATAGGGAACGCAGTTAGCATTAACATGTTGGCGAGGTGGAGGGTAAGGGGAGGAAGGCAGCAATTGGGGGAATCATTTTATGAACTATATAGATGTCTAACTTAAGCACTGTATACTTGAAACTAATTCAAAAGAAATTTAGAAGTATCTGGTTCTAAGAGATTAAACATCTCTTCCATCTTCAAAAAAAAAAAAAAATTCAGCATTGTCTAGGAAAATCTTCAAGATGATTAATTTCTTACTAAAGGGACCTTTTAATCTGGATATCATGACACTGTGAAGACACAGTGACAGTGTCCCAAGGCCAGAGGAACCACGAAGAACACCAGGGGAAGAGGATGCAATTTCTCTGTCCTGTAATTTCCTTGTTAGTGCATGGGGACAAAAATATTTTTCCTCACAAAATCTAACTGTCCATCTAAACTTATACTGATTTCATTCAGAACATTCCCATTTCTATTTTCAACATCAAGGGGTCTAGTCAGATGTGCACAGTTACATAAAAGGCAATCATAAATATTAAATTATTTCTTTTTAAACATGCACAATAGTCAAATAATAATGTATAGAATTTAAATCCAATAGTTCACCGTAATATAATTCTTCAGCAAAAAAAGAAATACCTAAGTAGTTAAATAGAGGCTGAGCTAAAGGGTTTGCCAGATAATATGCTTCCTACACCTACTTCGCTTACAAGATTATCTTCTGACTTTCAAAGATATGCAGAAATCTTTGCATTATGTCAAGTCTACACATTACACGAAAAAACTAAGCAGTGAACACAAAAACCTATATATCATGATTTAAAAACTATTTGTTAATGCAATCAAATGCAGATTTGTTGACTTATATTTGAATTATGATAACTGCAGAGAATTATTTGAACAGCCTATTAAATTGTTACCCAAAAATAACTAGTATTTTACACTAGTGACTATTAAAATAAGTGTCTCTATTATGCATATACTATTATGCAGGAAAAAATTTAAAATTCTAATTAATAAGTAGTAATAGAATAATTAAAAATTGGCTTCCAGGTAAAACTTTGATTAAAAATACCTTTTAGAAAAGAATCATGTTGTAATAAAAAACAAAGTATATTATAGTTGTATAAATATTGAAAACAAGACTCCGAGCTGTCAGAACATATACCACAGAGGTGCCACCAGTACTCACCGGTTGGTTTCCAGAGTGTTCAATATTCACTACGTACTTCCCATGTTTTCTGTCCATTTTTCAGCTGCCAATATCACAAGCTTAACTCCCAAAACATTTTTCAGCCTGTTCATGGCCCTTTATAGCTGCAATCTTGAGAAATAGTTGTGTTGATTAATATTAAACCTACTATGAGACATCGGTGCCAGTGTGGATTAGACTAAATAAATAATTATTCTTTATGTGGGATCCACCTTAAAGGAAGAAGTGGGGTGTTAAGGTGATTACATAAGAATATAAGAAAATCAATTCCACCTCTTGTGATTACACTCTCAGTACTGCTCCACCAAGCAACCTGCCTGGGAGAAAGAAACTGCGAGCACGTGTCTCTTCCCTCATTCCTATTACATCATTTCACAGGACCCTTCCTTCTGGCCTCAGCAACAACCCAAGGTAGAATTCCAAAATAAGTGAATGTTGCTGTTGCTTCTTTACTAATCGGACAGGAACATCTTCCTTCTTATTGGCAGCAACTTTTAGGCACTCAAGACCCACTGCTCATCAAGTTTTGAACTTCTCACTTTCCTCCCCAGCTCTAAAACGTCTCCAGTCAACTCTCTCTCTCTGCTGCTAGAACAAAAATTCATCTTACCTAGCTTATACTTCCTCAAGCCCCAATCCAATATCGATAGTTAATCTGATGAACACATCTCTGTGAATGTATTCACCAGGGTCCCTTTCTCGTCCCTTCTTGTGGGATCTATTTGGCATGGCGATCCAAATTTCTTCTGATTCTGCTTACAGTTCAGTAACAGAACACGTGGGTGGGCAGGGCTCTTCTAACTTCTGCAAATTTTACTCAGAAGCAAAGGAATTTTGTCTGTAGGAATCTTTGGCAGAATCTAAAAGATGATGGGCAAGATTTAAGAAATAACTTTTTACCTTAAATGAAAAGTTATCAATCAGTTCCCAACACATGTATTCAGGGAATCCCAAATAAAATTGGTGTAGAAAGTCGTTTGTGAAGAATGGGGCTTCTATAAACAAAAAGTCTAAAACTATCTTTTGAGTAGTAATTAATCCACAGGTAATGTCTGGCAAACAAAGCAACAAAGACAAAGGACTTATGCCTTCTTGTTTAAAATGTCTCATACAGCACGTTTTATCTGACCAGATATCAAACGGGTTTCAAAGATAAGAATTACCTGATAATAGAGCTGCAAGAAGTCTGAGAGAGCTTGTAGTTCAGCCTCGTCGTTTTAAGATGGAAGAAATCTGTGTCCAGTCACAGGAAGTGATAAACCAGTTGTGTAGCAGAACCCAGTTTCCTTTTCAGTCTAATATCCCCTCCATGACTACTGACTTTGTAGAAACATGGACAGCCTGGTCGGAAGTCAAGCAAATGTCCTTTGAAAACAAAGTGAGACCAAAATATCAAAGACGTACAGTTGGAAAGGATCCTAGATGGGATGCCTAGATGGGATGTCATATACCTGGACACATTTGAGATGTTCTGAAACGGACTTTCAGGTGCAGGATCTGAGAGTCTGACTTTTTGGGCAGATGGCAAATAATCCTCATTCGAACAATGTTTGAGAAATACTTTAAGAAACAATGATTCCTAAGGTAGTCGTGGAGTGTCTTCATATCTTTAGGAAAAAAACTGTGTATGTGAAGAAACCTCCATTTTCTTAAATTAAAAAAATGGGTAAGTTTTTAAGTTGTTTATTCATTCGACAAGCTGTATTGAATCTCTTCTATACCCAAGCATTATGCAAGCTGCTGCATGTTCACTGGTGAATAAATGAGTCAAGATCCTGCCCTCCTGGAGTATAGTAAAACATAAATCGATCGTGTATTGAAACATTTCTTGATCATTTCTTCAGTTCTATTTTAAATTCATTCTTTAGCTAAAGATTTCCACTGCCATTCTATTACTCACTAGAGGCAAAGTAAAGTGGCCCTAGAGTCTACAGAACATAAAACGCATGAAAAATCTGGGGAAGAGATTTGTTCTAAAGACGAGTAAGATACACTGCTTTACCGCTCCATACTGAAACC